ATGCCTCAGGTTATTCCACAAACTCGGCGATGTTAAACAGTCAGCTTGCCTTGAACAACCGTCCATAATCGCATCCAAAGAGATCTGGCTCACACCAGATATTTCTAACGCGGAGATCTCGATAGACGTTTACTCCATCTTTCGGGCCGACTCAACACGAGAGCGGGCGGGTACGGTTGCTCTGTACTTACATGTGGACCTACCAATCTCGATTGTTCTCTCTGACACTACCCCCGCATCCTTTTCCGATGCACTGTGGGTCCAAATCCCGCTGCGCGGGTCCGACTCTCTCCTTCTCGGTGTGGTCTACCGTAGCCTTTCGAGTCCACCTGAATATGAAAAATTCCTCATACAAATCCTTGAGCAACTCTCCTACAACTACCACTTCACTCATCTCCTGGTGGTAGGTGACTTCAACGCCCCAAAGGCCCCCTGGATGGAACTTCAGCGCGTCGGATCAGGCGGACGTTTTGCGGCGGCGGTGTTTGAAGTCGTTCAACAGAGCGCTTGGGCTCAACATGTCGTTGCACCCACCAGATACCGCGCAGGCCAACTACCATTACTGCTGGATTTGGTCATCACCAACGAAAGACACTTCGTTGATCAGGTAACAATTAACGCTCCACTGGGACATAGCGACCACTGTGTGCTGGCCTTTGATTTCATCTCCTACTGGGTCAGAAATCCTGAACATCAAGCGTGGTTTCGAGACTTTTGCCGTGCAGACTTCTCAGGAATGCGCACCTTTCTTGAACAAGTCACAATGGGACCAGCTCCAGTGGAAGAGCTATATAGGACTATTGTCCAATAAGTTCACGAGGCTGACGCAACGTTCGTCCCAAAAAAACCAGCACGCACTCGGATGGACCACAGGCTGCCAAAAAGGATTCGGCGACTTCTGGAAAAAAGATTCCAGCTCTTTTTCAAAAAGTTGGCTACAGGGGATACAGAAGATGATCTGGCATTTAGTAAAATGCGGAACCACTGTAAATGGGAAATCCGCAAATGGAAAATACGAAAACAAACCACCATTCTGGACCTCGCTCGAAAAAACAAAAGTGTCTTGTTCACATACATGAGACATCGCTGCAGAAACAAGCCATCCGCGTTCTACTTGAGGGACAGAAACGGAGAACCGACGAATGAACCCACAGTGATATTTGAGGTTTACAGAGAACACTATGCGTGTCCATGCTCAGCCCGGCGTCTTCGTCGTATCGAGTCGTGTCAACGCGGAACAACGAACAGCAGCTAACCGACTTGGTCCCCACGGTGGAGGACATTCGTCAACTCTCGCACCAGATCGATCCATTCGGCACGTTGATGCCAGGCGAGGTTCATCCAAGGATCCTGAAAGAAACGTCCTTCACACTGACGAATCACCTACACCTGGTGATTCGAGGTCGCTTGACGAAGGCAACCTTCCATCTGCATGGAAGAAAGCGATTGTCCCGCCAATCTGCAAAGCTGGTGACCGGTTATCGTCAGGCAACGAAACGCCTATAAGCCTAGCTAGTGTGCCTTCCAAGGTGATGGAAAGCATTCTGAAGCGAGCTACCTAGATCACCTTACTTCCAGCAATCTGATATCTCAAGCTCAACACGGATTCCTCCCAAACCGTTCTTGCGTGACAAACATGCTCGTGTTTATGGACAGTTTAACCCAAGCCAAGGACGAAGGACTGATATCGAATGCCATATTTTTCGACTTCTTAAAAGCAGTTGATAGGGTCCCACACGTCCCGCTGCTCCACAAACTCCAGTCTTACGGGATTCAAAGGAAAATCCTTTACTGGATCAAGGCGTTACTATCAGACAGATCATTCCGAGTGAGAATAGGCCCGACCCACTCTCCTCCAGCACCGGTCTCCATTGGAGTTCCTCAAGGCTTCGTCCTGGGATCACTGCTGTTTCTGATCTCTACGTCAACGACCTACCAGATGTTCTTGTAAGTCCATGTCTACTTTTTGCGGACGACTTGAAATCCTGGAGTTCCAATGGCAGTGCCCTCCAAGTGGATGCAGACACTGCAAAGCAGTGGTCGTTAGGCTGGCACCTTCCTAACAACGACGAAAAGTGCGTCCATGTCAGCGAATGCCTTTGTTATGCACGATGACAAAAGACCGGAAAGCATCATGAGGATGGACGCCAAAAAGCATTCGGGTATCTGGGTCTCCTCAAACTCGTCCGTCTCACTGCATCGTGAGAAATCGGCCCAAACGGCATTCGCCATTTTACGGATGATCCGACGCACCTTCTCCATGGACCTCCAAATACTCTATGGGGCCTACGTCAGAGCGCTCCTGGAATATGCCAACCAAGTTGTCTACTCAGGACGCACGAAAGACGTCACCCCCATTGAGCGTGTCCAGGGAGCCGCTACGAGAGTGGTTGCCGGCCTCAAATCCGTGGACTACAAAACGCGTCTCACGATGCTTGATCTCCTTCCGCTGGAGTAGCGTCGCCTCCGAGGGGACCTAATTCTTACTTATGCCTTGCTTGAACAAAGCTTGGCCAGCAGGATTTTCGCCGTTGAGCCAGCAAACGGCAGGGACATAGTAAGAAAAATTTCCAGGTTCAGAACACACACGTTCATTAGACAAAATTTTTCTCATTTCTGGTAATAGGTGAGTGGAATGACCTTCCTCCGACGGTTGCTCACGCTCCTTCTAGGACCCAGTTCAATGCACTATTAGACATTTATTTATGTGAATCCTCGCGCTGGCAAGCATACTGCCTCGCGCTGAGAACACAAAGAGCAATGCTACACCATTTTTCACTTGTGCCTTTCAAGTGAACGACAGCCGCTGACCAGCCCTGAATGGACCTTCGTTCTCCAGGCTGGTATTCCGTCACTATTTAAATATGTCAAAAATACCTAGCTTATGCCTGAATTTTCCGGCTTTCGGTTGGTCCCATAAAGCGACTTTCCTCGACCGCACTCACAGGTGTGTTATTTTCTATCGTACTCCTCAACCACGCTGCTTTCAGCCACGTCGAATTTATGGCATTCAGTTAACCTAGTACCTTATCCGTAGCACGACGGATCGTAAAAGCTCTTTGTTTGTTTCCGTTCTTTGTTTCATCAAATAGCATACCATCCACGGGATGTCGTAAATATGGTGACAGCTCGACAAAGCTCTGCCGCGGTCGTTACTTCCTAGTTATGAACACAATATCTGCCAGTAATCGACATACGAGCAGTGGGACCATAACCCTTCTAGTGCACCTAGGCCAGACTGAATTCAAAATGTCACCACGCTATTAGAAAAAAGCAGGGTCAAGGCAACGCAAGTCAGTGCACCGCTGGGGTGAAAATGCTTAAGTAAATCATTACTTCGCCTCCATGGATTGATCGCAGAGGTCGAGATTCTGTTCTCCAAACTAAGGGCGAAAACCCACTATTACGAGCCTGCAGGCGAGCAACCCCACATACTCAGGCAGCCTCATTATCAGGTGTACCAATTGCATCTTATTACCAAATATGCGTTAATCAGATCACTGCAAAATATGGTGTAGCACTTGTAGTTTTTTGCATAAGCTCGCTAGTTTTCTGATCCCGCCAAGACCATGCCAAATCATTGTCGAGTGCTCATAGCACTTTAAACCTGCCTCCCGATGACTATGGTAAGGGTGGTAGACGAAGACACTTCTTCGAAAAATCCACACAGAAGGAAGTGTGTGGCGCTCTTCAAACGACCTTGGAGCAAAGTCCTGCACTTGGCCCCCACAAACTAGGAAAGAATCCCATAGAAATCGGAAAAGGTGTGTGTTTTTCGCATCCCTTCAACTGAATGAAGTCACGAAACTAAATCCACACGGAAGTGTGTGGCGCTCTTCAAACGACCTTGGAGCAAAGTCCTGCACTTGGCCCCCACAAACTAGGAAAGAATCCCATAGATAGAAATAAAGGTGTGTGTTTTTCGCATCCCTTCAACTGAATGAAGTCACGAAACTCATTGGTCGCCCACAACAACATAGACGTTCTAGGTCTCGATCCCACAGTCGTGCTCCCAAGCACAGTGACCAACCTGGCTGGTGCTACTACCACCGTCGCTTCGGTGACCGCGCTATCCGATGCACCAGACCTTGCACTTTCCCCACAAAGCCTTCGAATTCGGGAAACGCCATGGCCGGCCAGTAATGGCGACCACTGCACCCGGCTCCTCTACCTGTCGCCTGTTCTTCGTATATGACCGCTCCACGTCCTTGAGTTTCCTCATTGATACCGGTGCTGAGGTTAGTGTAATTCCTCCTACACGCAAGCATAACCTACGGCCGGTGGCATATACTCTGCAGGCAGCCAACGGTACGAGCATTAAGACCTATGGTGAAAAGCTTCTTACTCTCGATCTAGGTCTTCGTCGTCAGTTCCCTTGGGTTTTCACAGTGGCCGACGTTAAAAAACCCATTATTGGTATGGACTTTCTCACGTCATTTGGTCTCACGGTTGATCTCCACAGACGGCAGTTGCTTGACAATTCGACAACTCTCTCCATAAATGGCAAAGCTTCATCCATTAATTCTATTGGAATCCGCCCAGCTTTGCCGGATAACCGTTACACAGCACTGCTTCGCCAATTCCCAGAGATCCTGAAACCTGCTTCCAAGACCACTTCCGTAAAACATGACGTTTTCCACCATATCTCGACAAAAGGCCCACCCACCGCATCCCGTCCACGGAGGTTAGCTCCGGAGAAGCTTGCCATAGCCAAGACAGAATTTCAGCATTTGCTTCAACTGGGTATCATACGACCATCAAGCAGCCCCTGGTCATCTCCACTGCATATGGTCCCCAAAAAGTCCGAGGGAGATTGGAGACCATGTGGCGATTATCGTGCACTAAATCGTGTCACCATCCCGGACAAATACCCAATTCCGCATCTGCATGATTTTGCCCTTACTCTTCACGGCAAATCTGTCTTCAGTAAATTAGACCTCGTCAGAGCATATCACCAGATACCTGTCGCTCCAGACGATATTTCCAAAACGGCTATCACCACTCCATTCGGTCTATATGAATTCGTTCGTATGCCATTTGGGCTCAGAAATGCAGCTCAAACATTT